ATCACAATTAGATATAAGAAGAGTCGCCACTCGCGGAGAAGAGAAATCAGCTGCTGCCACACCATACCACTAACAGAAGCAGCATCAGCAGTTAGGCAAGGAAAACAACAAAAGTGTTGTTAGTGTAAATATCGCGGGACACGATGAGTTACGAATATCCAGACGATGGCCACATTTACGTCTGTGTGCGTGTCCGCGACGTCGCGACGGTGCCTGGGATGGCCCTCCCCAACAATGGCGGCGTCAGCGCCACGCGCCGATCGACGCGGGAGAACATTAAGGACGCCCAGCGCATCTGCGTCTCAACCATTGAGAACGTTGTGGTGCTGCACGACCCCAAGTCGGTAGAAGACGCGTCGTGCGTGGCGCGCGACGCAGACGGCGTGGTGCAGCTTCTCACTGCCCGCTCCAGCGGCGGGAAGGAGAAACGCCTCGCTCGCAAGTTGCTGACCGCCACTGCGACGGCGAACTACTTCGAGTTTGACCGCTGTCTGAACTCCATGGAAACGGGCTCAATGATGCAGATGCCGATGATCCGCAACAGCGACTTCATTCAGCCACCCGAGTACGGCACGCAGGAGGACGTGTACCTCTGCACCGCCGTGCACGCCGTGACGGCGGCGGTGGAGGGCATTAACTCGTGCGTCTTCGCGTACGGGCAGACCGGCAGCGGCAAGACTTTCACGCTATTCGGTGACACGGCGAGCATCCGCCGCGACCCCGGCGTCGTGCCACGCACGCTGGATGACTTGTTCCAGCGCCTGGAGTGTATCAAGCGGGAGTACGAGAGTGATACAGAGACGGAGTACTCGTGCCGCGTCCAGCTTTCCTTCTTTGAGATATACCAGAACGAGGTGTACTGCCTCTTCTCGCGCAAGGGGCCTCTACGCGTCAACTTCTCGCGCGACATCGGGGGCAAGGAAGAGACGATGGTGATCCACGACCTGCAGCAGCAGGTGGTGTCGTGCGCGGAGAAGGCGTACCCGCTCGTTGAGATGGGCCTCCGCCGCCGGCAGACGGGAGAGACGGGTATGAATGCGCGCAGCAGCCGCAGCCACGCCATTTTGCAGGTCCGCCTCACGCAATGGCGCACCAACCGCATCACAAAGGAGTCTGTTGAGCTCAACGCGACGATTAACCTTGTCGATCTCGCTGGAAGCGAACGACAGAAGACTGCTAAGACAGACGGCAAGAGCCGGGATGAGGGAATTCAGATTAATCAGTCGCTCGCAACCCTCGCCCGCGTTATTAACGAAATCTCGCGTGGGGCCAAGTACGTTAACTACCGTGACTCGCTGCTAACCATGGTGCTTAAGGACAACTTGGGCGGGAACAGCAAAACTTTCATGGTTGCCACAATCGCCCCCATGACGTTCTGCTATCAGGAATCATGCGCGACACTGCAGTACGCGAAGGATGTGCGCAAAATTCGAAATCGTCCGATGGTGAATAAGACGTTCCAGACCCGCTCCAACCTGCTGGACCTGAACGCGCGGCTCAAGCAGGAGAATGAAATGCTGAAGGGACACATTGAAAGCCTCCTCAAGAATCTCAATGGAGGTGCTGACAATTCTGGCACCGAGGCGGTAGCAGGAGAAGGGGGAGGGGAAGAGGGCGGTGACCCGCCTCACCACGGGAAAGTATCAAAGGCCCTGTGGGGTTCCAGCGCAGCGGCGCATGTTGGTCCCGCTGCAGCGGAGACAGTTATTGCTGCCTCGGGTGTTGGCGCTGTGCCGCTGGTCATCACTGCGCACCGCAAATACACCAGTCTGTATGGCATCGGTGGGTCGTGTGTGGAGGGCGGCAGGATCGGCGTCACATCGCTCACGAAAGGCATTGTGAAGTTCCGCCTCGCTGACCTCCTGGACGACGCGCAGAAGAGCGATCCACAAATCCAAGGAGATCGGCAAAAGCTGTCTGAGGAGAGGAGGGACTATGGCGTCGTTGAGTTTGAGCGCGTGTCACAGCGTTCGTGTGAGCAACACTACTGGATGCGCTACCTCCCCAACGAGGAGGCCGCCGCCACCGCGTTGGGCTGCCGGCTGGAGTGCCACGTCAACGGCGCCAGCCTGAGAGGCGGCAGCCGGCGGCAGATGATGCATGGTGATGTGGTGTGCATCTACCTCGACAGTCTTGACGGCGCCACGGAGCAGAGCTTGCTGTCGTTCCACTACGTGGACCTCAACTGCCTCTCGCGCCGTGACACGACGACAGGTGACCTCAAGATGACTGTTTCTCTCCCGCGCGCCTCGGCCGAGCGCGCCAGTGACGACGACCTTGAGCAGCTGCAACGCGACAAGGCGAAGCTGCTTGAGATGGTGCAGACGCAGGCACGCACAATTGAATACCAGTGCCAGCGCGACGCCGAGTCGCGGTCGCGGATGGCGTCAGTGACACACTACCGCGGCAGTGACAAGGATGGCTCGCCGTCGCCCAACCCAGTGATGCCGCTCGAACGCATCAACATGGACGTGCCCGCCACGACGCCGCTGCAGGCAAGTGCGGCAGCACGCGCATTCTATCGCACCTCCGTCTCACCTTCCATCCAGTACGAGCTGAGCGCAAACCCACAGCGCTACGAGGACTGTGTGCGTGAGAACCAGACGCTGTACAAGGGCATGGTGCAGCGTAATGCCACACTCGAAGAACTTGCACGACGCCTCGCGGAGCTGGAGAGGAGTACATCCCAGCAGCAGAACGCTCCTGCGTTGCCAGAAGGGCCGTCCACATTCTTAAAGACGACAACGCGCGTATCAAAGAAGGGTGTGTCGTCTGAGGTGAGCGAGAGTGAGGACGCAAGCAAGGCAGCGGCGAGCTCAGAAGGATCTCCCACAGGTGTGATGACCGAGACACACAACCCACCCAATTTTGCTCCGAATGACACCGAGGCCGACGAAACACAAAAAGCAACTGCTGCAGAAAACACGACATCAATTGAGGCTGCGAAAACTGTCTCAGAGGCAGAGCAGCCGCCTAATGCAGATGAAATTTTGTTGAAGCATCGCGCGGACCCCGACCTGGAGCAGTTTGGCCGGATGAACGTGTTCCTGTCCACCTCTGACGGTGTGCGCGAGCGTTACTACGCGGCGAAGCGGGAGCACGTGCTGTGCGAGCGCATTTGGTCTCTGGAGCAGGCGCTGGAGAACCTGCGTGGAGAGATGCACCTCCTCGAGAGCAACCTTCGCATCGCACAGGACGCGAACACCGAGCACGAATTCCGCCAGGCGCAGATGGAAGATGAGATGACGGAAGTGTCGAAGGCGCTGCTCGACGCGACGGAGGAGAACGGGACACTACTGCGCGACATCAACGCACTCGAGACATTCCTTGGCCGCACGGAGGAGGCGCTCGCGGAAGCCAGCGCCATCAACGAGGTGGAGCTCGAGAAGCGCATCGTCCACATGGCAGAAGAGATACGCGCACTAAAGACCGTCGCGCGTATGTGGAAGCGGCGCGCGATGCAGCGCATTGCCCGCGAGTTCGGTGACAACCACAACAACAAGGAGGGCGACGAGGTAGTGATCAAGAGCGGGCAGGTGCCATGGGAAGACCTGCGCGTGGAGAGCAACGCGGCGCGGGCGAAGCAGCTGCTTGGCGACGCACGCTGCACCGCCACTGCAACCAACACGATCGACCGCTTCGAGAAGGAGACTGCCGCCGAGGCGGTGGTGGCGCTTGAGACGGTGCTGGCGGAGCTCGAGAGTGAGAATCTGCGGCTCATTGACGATATCAAGGTATATGAGGAGCAGCTGCGCGATTACAAGGAACTTGTGGCGCGCCTGCGGCGGGAGAAGGAACAGATAGAGGAGGAAGGCTCCAAGAAGGGGGCGACGGATGATGAGATGCAGAAGTTCAAGGAGCTCTACGTGCGGAAGTGCGAGGAGCTCGCGGCGGCGGAGCGGCAATACGAGACTGCTGCCACGAAGCTAAAGTCGGCGGTGCAGAAGAACACCGCTGTGAAGAAAAAGTCGGCCACAAACAACGACTTGCTGCTACAGGAGCAGCGCCGCATTATTGAGGAGCAGCGTGGTGACAATGAAAAGTTGGGCCTCGCGCTGGCATCAAAGGACGAGGAGCTGCGTACAGTGCTGCGCTTCCTGCAGGCCCGCCCCGGAGAAGCGGAGCTGGGCGGTTTCAAAGACGACGTGGAGCTACGCAACCGCATTGAGGAGCTTCTGGAAGCTGCTATGGGTGACACCAGCAGTGTTGGCGCCGGCTACTCTGTCTTCCCTCCGGACTTCGTGTTCTCGGAGGAAGTCGTCGCGCTCATCCGTGTGTGCCTGCGTATCATGATGGACCGCCTCAAGATCGAACTGTACGTGCTGAACCGCCAGAGCCTCCACAAACTTGGCCTGTTCGTTCCGGCAGTGCAGCTGCGTCCGGAGGCTCAGTTCCACTCCTTCATGCACGAGCTGCGCGGCGTGGTGGCGGAGATCGCCGGCAAACCGCAGCGCATTGGCGGCAAGTGGACGGTGGAGGAAGGCGACGTGCTATCGCGTCTTATAGACCACCGCCGCCGCCGTGCCGGCAACGCGCTCAGCGGCCTGCTCATCTGGTACGACCACTGGGACCTCTCGCCCAAGTCTGAACACGTCTGTTACATGGAGCTCATTCGCAACATGGAGCGGGTGATGCAGCTCGCGCGGCTGGTGCGGCAGGAGAGTCTTGTCAACACCAACGCCACCTCTACGCTGCGCCTCATGATGCCGGGCAAGAACGGTGCCCCAGACACCACCTACATGCCCGCCAACATCACTGACACAAGCATCAACGAGAGCCGACGCATACTTGAAAAGCTGACGGTGGGGGCAAGGCGCAGCAACTTGGCACGCGTGGTGACCAACAGCAAACCTGCAGCTTCCGCTGGGTTCCAGCGCAGCCGCACCGCTATTAGTGCGCATTCCACTCCGCGCAAAAGTGACATCGCCGCGGTGAATTTCGCCCGTACAGCCACCTTCACGCCAAAAAGTGCGATGAAAACGCCACCGGCACAGCAGCAGCAACAGCAAGAACAGGGATCGCACGGCACAGATAGCAAGTTCGGGCGGCGCGCAACGGCGCTTGTGGTGCCAGTTACTGAAAATGACATTACGTTCGCCGCGAGTACTGCGCTGGCGCGGTACGACTCGACATTCAACTTCGCTCGCCGCATGAGTGCGGTGAATCTCCCCGAGGCGGAGCCGCACAAGCAGCCGACCAAGACCACACGTTTCGNATTCAACTTCGCTCGCCGCATGAGTGCGGTGAATCTCCCCGAGGCGGAGCCGCACAAGCAGCCGACCAAGACCACACGTTTCGCACGTGCCAAGACGGATGTCCCACCGAGTTTTGCCGCATTGGCGGAGCTGCGCAACGGCAAGCCGAGCGACACATCGACAGGGCTCCACAGTGTCACGCCAAAATCGGCGGCATCGAGGAATAACAGTGGCAGCAGAACACCCATTGCGAGAAAAACAACGACAAGGGCAACACCGGGCGAAACCTTCCGGCGCACACGAACGGCGCAGTTCTCCCGTATGAGCACCTCTGGTGTGCCGCAGCTAAGCAGTCGTGTCAGTGGTCGGCGACCGATGGTAGCGACGACGACGGCGGGGGCGGCGCGTACAAGCACCAGCCACCGCCCGAAGTCGCCGAAGCCGGCGGTGCCGGTGGCGCCCAAGTCGTTCTACGACCCAAGCGTCCTCAAGACGCTGAAGCAGCGCAGCAGCAGCGAGAGCAACCAAATGCCGGAACAGCAGGGGCTGCGGAAGCTGAGCAAATCTAGGCCCGCAACGCCGACGAGGGTGCCGGCGGTGGTGCTACCGCGCCGGTCATCGTCGTTGTCGTTGTCGTCGCGGCTGCACACAAAATGTAGCAGCGGCCGCTCCACCACGTCGCACGCCGCCGCACTGCCACCGCCAGTGCCGGTGCCGCGACTGTGTTTCGACTCGCTCCCCTTGTGAGGGGGCGGGGGAAGACAAAAAAAAAGAAATAACGGCTGCAGCAGCA